TTCTCTTTCTCTCTCTGTGCCTCTCTCTCTACCTCCCCCCCTATGTATGCAATCCGAGCGAATTTCTGTTTCAGAATGTACAATCCCATGTTCACTGTCTGATACATTCTCTAAATGTGCATCTCTCTCTCTCTCTCTCTCTCTCTCTCTCTCTCTCTCTCTCTCTCTCTCTCTCTCTCTCTCTCTCTCTCTCTCTCTGCGTTTTTCTTTTATTTTTTATGATTCTTGTATTTCCCCGCATTCATTTTTCTTTTTTTTAATGTTCTTTGTTTTTCTTTTCTCTTTTTCGTGAACGTTCCCGACGTTTTGGCAGCTACCGGGCGTTGGGCTTGGCTGACCCCCGATAGCTGTGGTGCGTTAACGGGCAAGCCATCAGCCCATGTATGGGCCAAGTAGACCCTCTGCATATGCAGCTGAATGGTTGTATAGGCTACATATGCCCCTGCACATGTGGCTGAATGGTTTTGTACAGTGAGATCCACATGCAACTATGGAAAAGCACCTCATGAGTTTGAATCCAAACGGAACGGAATCAGATGAATAGTACAATAAATGTTTAGGGGCTAATAAAACAACAGGAAAAAATAAGAGAGTTTTCCTCCTAAGGGGCTCGTTTGCAATCAGACTCGCTTTCATTCACACTTTACATGCATGCAAACAGTAGCGCAGCAACTGGCGATATGCGCCCACACAGTACTCAGAGATATGACAAGCCAGATACAAGTTCACTTCAAACGGCTATGGCGACATAGCGCCCACACAACCCTCTGTTCGCATACACTGGATCACCCTGGATATCCCACACGTGGTACTCTGTTCACGCTCACACACTCACACACTGAACTCTAACTACAGCTATGGCCGCTGCTACCCTGTCGCTATGGCTAAGCTTCGTCTCTCTGCCCACTTCGTCTTCGGGCTCACTGTAGACCTCCTGCACAAGTCGCTGTGGCAGCGCTTCCGCATGGCTCACGCAGGAATGAATGAATGGCTGGGCGCTGCCTCTTGATTTATACTTCTGCAGCTCATTGGTCTGGCCTTTTCCAACTCCCGAAGTGCACACAGTCCCATGCGGTACTTGCTTGACTGGACCAGGACTGCCTAGGACTGGGACTGTTGACTCAGCACGGTGGACTTCCTCCACTTGCCCACTTGCCTCACCACTTGCCCACTTGCCTCAGCCTAAACGTGGGTAACTCCGAAAGGCCACTACTGGGACCTTCCGGAAGGCCGTGGACTTGGCCTTTCAGTGCTGTAGCAGCTACGACCTTGACCTTTCCGGACTGTAGCAGCTACGACCTTGACTCTTCTAGAAAACTACAGCTACGACTTCTAGACCTGACTGGGACTCCTACTCGGCAGGTCTACAGATCAAACCCCGGCGGCCTCTGGACCCTATGACAGTCTACCACTGTTACAAATACACAGGTCACGGGTTCAACTCTAAGGATCGACACAGATATTGTACACAGGTAAGGTGGGGACTAGGGATCGAGCCCTGGGATCTGCATCAGCTACTGCGAATTGGTGAATACCGTTTCACGTTAGACACTCCTATTGAAATCCTCGGGCAAAAGGAAAAATTCCTTTGTTCAAAAGGAAATTTGGGTCCTTCCTTCCACCTGTCCTCCGGGACGTCGCCCGAGGACATTTCCTTCGAGCGATGTCAGAAAAGAAAAAAGAAAAGGGAAAAAAAAATCAAATGTGCTTGAGGCCTTCAGCCCATCAGGTGCCGCCACGATCCAGATTCTCGGTTGTAACGTCTCTCTACCCATGTGCCCTCTCCTCTCCGTGAAACGCGGATTCCTTTTGCCCAAGGGACCTCGTGAGGTCCCTTGGGCAAAAGGAAGAAATGGCTGGGGAATCCTCGGAGCCCAAGGAATTTCCTTCGGAGTGTTTTCACTTTTTTTTTACCGACTGCATCCCCGAGGATAGGTGGAATGGACAATTCCTCGGGGACTGTACGCGCCGGAGGAGTGTCTAACGATCCCCTAAGAACGGTAAGTCAAACAAAACTTCATAATTTTTCTGTCATGCAATACAAGACCATGCAGCCGCCTTAACATACCTACCCCCTCTTGAAAAAGTTGGAAAAAAAAAAACACGCAAGGCTGAACATAGAGGCTGGTTGTGGATGCAGACTTGGATTTATATATGTTTTTCGGAACGTTGTCCTTCTGCGAGTTTTTATTTTTTTTATTTTTTATTTTAATTGGAGAACCACTGAGTTGAACTATGACAGCTGTTCCATATTGGGGAGGGAAAAAAAAAAAAAAAAAAAAACTTGAAATTTGGATGATCTTCTGTTTGTAGCTTGAAAGAGAGAAATTCATTTTTGAAATTTTGACACTTGTGCGGCTGTGCCAATGATTGAATTGAATTGAAAATTATTGAACGTTGCAGGTACAATTGACGCCAAGGAGCTCAAGGTTGCCATGAGGTATTTGTGACATCCTCTTTTTTTTCTTCTCATAACTATTGTTCCACTTAGAAAGGCAACCTTAATAAATAAATTATAATTGAAAACAACAAAGGGAACCCTAGCATCTGAGCTACTTTGACTGATGTAATGGTTAAATGTGGCAAGATGCTGCATGCACAATTAGTCACCAGGATTGCTGTGAATGTGCACACTTTTGAATGCCGTTGTTTCAGATTGCAACAAGCCTTCCATTGCCGTTCTCGCAGATTATTGCTGCATCTAGACAGCTAGTGGCGCCCAAAGGGAACCCTAACATCTGAGCTACTTCGACTCCATGTAATGGGGAAATGTGGGAAGATGCAGCATGCACGATTAGTCACGGCGATTGCCGTGAATGGGCACACTTCTGAATGCCATTGTTTCAGATCGCAACCAGCCTTCCATTGCCGTTCTCGCAGAATCACGGCTACCATCTTCACCGAAACAGAACACCTGATGATTATATTCTGGAATGCCTTCAACTGCTAGTACATGGCCCCAGCCTTGCAGAAAGTTTTTGTCACCACAAGCAAAACGCGGAGGCGCCGCGCGGCCAGGCCCGCCGTTGAAAAATAAATAAATCTGTGGCCTCCGAAGCGGGTTTGATGCTGACACCCGTGGGTCGATATGTGGTGTAGTGGTGGTTTAAACGACCAGTACATGCCAGCTATCGGCCACGGGCTCCTTCGGAGGCCACACACTGCCGATTCATTTTATGTACGGCACTCGTCCGGCCTAAAATGTCCGGAGAGGCTCAAAACAGGTTCTCCAGTTGCCTGGGGCCATGTACTGGTGGTTGAAACTTCAAACCGCGAGTACACACGGTCCCAGCCTTGCAGAAAAACGCGAGTGGCCAACTCCGACGAATTTTTCCGAGGCTCTGGTCTACCTACGTTACCACAATTGCTAGCGGCGCCAGCCAAAAAGGAAAAGAAGTGCGCCGCTGGCAGGTTGGAAAAGCTGAGTGCGCGCAGTGCAGCGCCTACAGGTCCGGGTGTGCTGGTGGTTTAAACCACCAGTACCTTTCCCAGCCAAAATGCCGAGACGCACCCGTTAACACGGAGGCCGCACTCGCCCTCAGGCGGCAGATGCGCTGCCAAAACTCTCGGCCTGGGCGGTGGCCAGATGCGCTGCCAAAACTCTCAGCCTCGGGCGTCGGCCAGATGCGCTGCCAAAACTCGGCGCGCGGGGCCCTCCGCCCATAGCTGGAAAAGGTACTGGAAGTTCCTTCAACGAAAGAATCTTCCAAATTCATCAGTTGATTAGCAGGCTAGCCATAGTTTACAGTGATGACTCACTCGAAGAGGAAGCAGCCTTAGAGACTACAAGCGAAGCAACTTTCCAGTGCTCACAACCCGCCTCAGCCGGCCGGCGAACAAGACGTAGAAGATGAAAACAAAAACTAAAAAAAAAAGATAAAACGAGAAAAAAGGAAAAGAAAGAGGAAAAAAGATGTAGAAGCCTAGAAGGAGATTAAAAAAGGAGGTAGTTTCTGACTGTTGGATGTAGTTACACAACATGGTACAGGGATGCTGGACCCAATTTCCAGCAGATACAAATCACATTAGTGCAATACACGTTAGATCATGATTAGGGTTTCGCCTGATAGGATTGATGTCTCAGTTTGTTTGCGAGGTTCTAGAGATCAGATGGATAGGGACGCTGGACCCGATTTCCAGCAGGTGTAGCTCTCCACCAATAGATGGAGCCTTCGACGTGGGGCCTACTTACCGGGGATGCTCTTATCACCTCGTTAAGTAGGTTTCCCATATACGAAGTTCAAAAAAAAAAAAAAAAAAAAGGAGAGCAACTATGTATATTTCCTCTCACCTCACATATGTTAACTGGCTTTCTGCCATGTCGTCATGGAACATATATTTTTCCTCTCACTACCTACCACCACTCCTATGGCTATACAGGGGACCCCTCCACGCATAGCTTTCTACCTCTCTTCGGTGGAGGGAGGTAACAGCATATTTGCCCCTTTGCCCTAGCGTTTAGGGTGCAGGGTTGGGGCCGCCAGTGTCTCCGGATGAGGAGCAGACAGCTTTTTTTTGGGGGGGACAACTGCGCCTGTGACCGCTGTACAGTTCAGAATTCGCAGAAATAACAGTCCACTGCAAGATTGGCCCACGACCAGCTAGAAACTGCAAGAAAAACAATAAACTGTGTGTTCGACGGCCTACCGGTTCAATAATTTGGAAAAACAGGAGGTGGCCTGGGCTAGTGGTACCTCTCTTTTTCCCGTGGCCCGGCCTGGGAGGAGGTACCGACAGCAGCCCCTCCCGTTTTGTTTTTTTGTTTTTTTGTTTTTTTCCCATTCTTGGCTTCTGGCGGGACTCGGTTCGGGTTGGACAACAACGCCACTTGGTCGGTACAGGAAAAGCCAATGACCGTGCCACGCGCCCCGTTGACACCCCCCCCATTCTCTCTCTCTCTCTCTCTCTCTCTCTCTCTCTCTCTCTCTCTCTCTCTTTGTTTTGTTTTTTTTCCAATTTTTGTCTTCCGGCGGGACTTGGTACGGGTTGGACAACGACCCCACTTAGTCGGTACAGGAAAAGACAATGACCGTGCCACGCGCCCCGTTAAC